AGCTTGGCTTCCAGGCCGTTCCAGAAGACCTCTGCCTCTTCACCTGCAGCGGCATCATAGTCTTCTTCTATGTAGACGACATCGTCATCGTCTACCATCGTTCGAAGTCTAGCGAGGCCAGTCAGCTCCGCACGCAGCTCCAGAAGCACTGGGAGCTTCGCGATATGGGAGAAGCCACCTGGTTTCTTGGGATTCGAATTCTGCGCGACCGGCAACAGCATAAGCTTTGGCTCTGCCAAGACTCCTACTTCTCATCGGTAGCTGCACGCTATCATCTTTCCAGTGGTCGGAAATACCTCTCACCACTGCCCGTGGAACGTATGGTTTCGTTCACAGGCCAAGCTACAGCCTCACAGATCCACGAATATCAGCAAAAGGTCGGATCCGCCCTATACGGGACCATCATCACCCGTCCAGATGCTGCGAAGTCTGCGAGCCACTTGGCCGAATTCCTCACTAATCCCGGACCTCAACACCTCGAAGCAGCTGACCGGCTCATCCGTTATCTCGACTCCACTCGTTACTTCGCTCTCGAATTCCATCCAATGCATGGCCTCGAGCCTGCCCTCCAATTCGCCAGCGATGCATCATTCGGCGACCACACGGACCGCAAGAGCTCAGAAGGATACCTCTGTAAGCTATTCGGAGGGGCAGTCGACTGGAAAGCAGGAAAGCAAAAGACCGTGACAACCTCTACCACAGAAGCAGAGCTACTAGCGCTATCCGAGGCAGCGAAATCAGCTCTTTGGTGGAAACGTCTACTCGCCGCTGTCAATTTCGAATACCAGGACTCAGAAGCGATGGAGATTCAGTGCGATAACGCCCAGACCGTCGGCCTTCTCACCAAGGAGACGCCTCAACTCAGCACTAAGCTTCGCCACGTTGATATTCACCATCACTGGCTTCGGCAGGCCGTCCAAGCCGGAGAAATCGCTATCCGCTGGGTTCCTACAAAAGATATGGCCGCGGACGGACTCACGAAGCTCTTACCTGCTCAAAATCACAGCAGATTCATGCGCGCTCTCGGACTCACGAACATACAGCACCTTATCAAATGAGGTGGAAGTGAGAAAAGAAGATCGCACTCAACGTCGCGTTCTCAGGCATACGGTGGCTGCTGGGGGGGTGTGTCGACAAAAGTGGGTCGCCATTTTACTAGTGCGCCCGAGGAATATTCAGCACCCCCATCTGCCTGATGATCCTAAGGCTCTCAACGACCTTACTAAGCTCATCCCCTATTTATTCTGCACTTTCTATAGTATATAAAAAATCACACTCTCAAGTACTCAATTGGCTATGCCCGTACTAGTCCGTACTGTAACGACCACGTTCCGACAATACCATATATTACGTTTAGTCATCAGTACCGCTCAGATTGTTGAAATAGCGAGTTTTTGTCATTTATGTTAGTTAAGAGTCATCCATATCTGCCAGTTGTACCATATATTGCAATACAGACAGATTTCTGTCAATAGAAACTATATCTTGTATGACAGATCCGGCAGCTTTTCCCAATAGCTCCATTTCTATCTCCTTCCGTCGTCCTCCGAGGAACATCATGGAAATCTGTCATTCCTTCCATCTTAATTCTCTCTCTCTCTCTCTCTCTCATTCCTTGACACAGCCCTACTCAGAGCAGATCTTTGAACCGCCACTTTGACTGCTTGGTAAACTCAGTGCGCGTACTCTCCTAGTGATCGCATAAGCCACATACGGAAAAACATACAACAGACATGATGACCACTCCAGATCCGAAGGCGGCCTGGCCAACGGCTCCGTAATACACAATCTTGTAGTATGGAAAGCGGCCTGCACTGTCAAAAAACTCAAAGGATGTCTGAAAGCCGTGAACGTCGCTGGCAACATAGCCTCCTAAGGAGAGAACGATCACCCTCACAACGATTTGAATGCAACTTCAGTAGAATCGAGCGGTGCTGGTTTCTTGTAGCCCCTTCGGGTAGATCACAAGGACAACCCCGAAGATGGAAAGCAGGACTCACACCAGGGCCACAATCACCGTGCCCTCGAGGACGTTGTCCATAAGGTTTTGAAACGTGATGTCCAAAATAGAGTCGCTCGAGGTGACGAGGTCAGATTTTGCGCGGTCTCGCAGAATGACGGCAAAGCGTACAATGGAGGAACCGAGACCGGCAAGAACCAGCCAGGTGATGGTAAGGAAAAGGATGGCAAGACGCATCCGAATCGTGCCTACGGAAGTATTCAGAGGCATTATATCCGCAAGAAAGGATTTGCTCAAATGCAGGAAGGTAAGGCAGGTCTCGTTCAAGGAAACAGTCAAACAAAGTAAAGAACATCAGCAGAATGATGACGCAGGTCAGTCTCCGGGCGCCGTGAATTTATAAGTGCTATGCGCTCTTCACACAAATGCTGCCTCATAAAGAATGGCCCAGCCCGTAGTGCGCCGTGTTAAGTGCCTTTTTCATGCTTTGCTGCCTCAGTAGCAATCCTTATAGGCGTTTTCTCAGTAAAAATGTTTCAATTAGAAGCGCTATCTCTATCCTTGAGATCGACGGCCACGGAAACCGTCTCTGATGCTTGGCTGTAAAGCAGGTCCAGGAGTAACCCGGTGTATTTCTATAATTTACTGACCTGTTAAACGGGACGCAGCATATAATCATCATCTCCAAGATAGGTGATGGATTGTGCATAAAATATTTCAAACCAAATAGTGATCCCAGGAAATTTGCCGATACCGACACAGTTTGCCTTGGTCTTTTCGCGATATCACTTTGCTGTACACAAGAATATATCCTTTCCTGTTGATTAACAAAATACCGAACACTTCCACAGGAAGACACGTCTCCCTATTTCTGTCGTTTCTGTTGAGCATTTTTCTTTTTTGCCAGCTAACTTAGGATCTGCTTCCAACCGTAAGGCAACCCTTACTGTTCGGTGAATCAACGCGGCCAGTCAAGAATAAATTTTGAACCGGGAAATTTAACAAAGTCCCGCTAGTGACCAGGTAACTAACATAGCTCAAGTACTATGAGCGATAAACTCACATGCTGTTGGTGTTCAGTGGTTTTCATGTTCAACGCTGATGTAAACGTTGACATCAACTTTCTGACACCATTCACCACCCGTATATCTTCAAAGGTGGTTATCTGAGGATACTCACCGCATATATCAGCAAGATAATGCCAAGCTATTGTGGACGAGGCCAAAGGCCCCAGTGCTCCTGGAAGCACAAACTAGACTCCACCGGTCGTCCTTTTTAATGTGGCTTTTGGCGCGGCTGAATTATGACGCAATAACAATCACGAGCGTCAGAAATGCAACTCCCTTCCGCATGTTTCTAATCATGAACACCTCCAATCTGGAAGCCAGGTTGCTCCCCGGAATGCGCTTCAAATCAATTGGTTCTCGGGCACCACGTGGATACGGCAACTGGACTGAAACATCGTTGATTTGATCGTCGCATTGATCTACGTACCGTGATTGAGGCAACAAATCGACATTCGCAGTCCTCCTAGGAGCCGGCGCTGATACTGGTAGTCCGCGAAAACTCGATAGTGGATATATCTTTCATGGTGGACTTCGAACATTTAAAAGCTCATGATTGTCCCATGGTGGAAGCTATTATGCCTTTCTTTTGCTCTAATAGCTTGCCAGTACAGCACCACCACTAGAAATACCAAGCAGTCATCATGGATCATGAGCTGTCACAGGTATCAAAGAGGTCCAATACCCCCGTAATTGTGAGGAGCTTTGGCGCGACGTCTAGTTCCAAGAGCAATTCGTCACAATATCCGCAAGATTATCCCCAGAGTGTGTTTCACATATGTCGGTGAACTACAGAAGCTCTTCTCGCTTCTCCAACTCGGGTGAGATCCACTGACCAATGATGCCCATGATCGCTATCTGATTCTCTGATGTCCAAACATCAAGAGACAGCGCAATCGTGCGACTACTACTGGCGAATTCTTCTTTCACAATTCCAATTTTTGCAAAATTCCTCCTTGATCCTGTTGAAGAGAGTGTCGGCCGTCTTGATGGGTAATATAGCCCCAGCTTCAAAAAATGCCCTAAATGCCGGATGCTCCACTACCGTGAAAGGCTGTCTCGTTTGGACAACCCATTGTATCAGCATTTGTTCAAGCCCGCCCTTTCTTTCGCAGGCGTCAAAAAATTGTCCAGGGTCGTTCCGATAGTTGACGATAACGTGATGTCTGATCCAGAACTGATGCAGTGCTTGGCCTGGAGATGGGCCAACAAGTTCGAAGTGGAGCCATAGCCGTGACTAATCAGCTCACTAACACCCGGGAGGGGGTTAGTGAGCTGATTAGTCACGGCCAGCATATTCATGAATATTCATATTCCTTTCGGAGCCCCACTAAACACATATTGTAAATTTTTGATGTTGGGAGGCAACGCGTTGAGATCGCGTCGCGGCTGTCGAAGCTAAGCGGTCAAACAACCCCAATTCCACCGAGATTAACGCCGTTAATCTTCTCAATTGGTCTGTTAATCGGCACCACAGGAGGGAATCCCGGTTATTCGAAACATGCGCCTATCAAAATAATCCATCACCGGCCACTTTAACCCCGGTCTCTCTGATGGCCAATCAACGCAGACTAGACTATAGGAGAGCATCTGGTCTCGTATGAAACCTCTATTACATTAGAGTCCCTCGAAACTTTTCCGCTAGCTGCGCTACACTGACGCTATCCTTGGATCCGAATGTTCTTGTGCATAATATACAGGGTAATCTCATGTGAAGTGGTCCAGAAAATGCGAGATATCTCGCGGCGGACAATTTTCGATAAACAAACAAAGAATAGAGCGGCGGCTTTCTATACCCCTGCTCACATTGGTACGGCGCGATGATACTCTCAATGGTGATGTATAAGTTTTACTTATTTCAAAGAGTAACACAAGCAGCCTTGCTTTACCCTTTCCTTTGCTGACAAGCCGCGTGGCAGCAAAACGAAAATTAACCTTCCTCCTCGATTACGAAAAAATTTAATGTCTTCAATCTCTCAACCACTCTCCCTTGTTCGCTTCCTTTTGATGATTTTGTACCGAGGTCCACGCTGAGAATTGTTCTCACGTATAGGTGAAGGGAGTGAAGGACTGTGGCTCATCTCCAAAGTCGGTCGTATGGAGCTGGGCTGACCACGAGTGAAAGAATCATGATAGTAGGCACCCTCAATTTTGTGAAATCCATGGTAATAAAGCCGCCGAACGAACGAACGGTAGCTCTTTGTTGAAAGCTTTGCGAGCCGATGCGCAGGGAACTTGCTTTCTGGAGCAATAAAGACAGATCGACCATCTTCTGACCAACGCATTACTTCTTCATTTTTCGGATCATCAAGGAACCTTTCTCGAGTTAGGGGATAATTCAAGAGTATCAACGTTCCAGTTGGTGTTTTCACTTACTCGCTCAAACTCTGTATGAAATCGGATGTGTGTAACCTACTCCCTTGAATCGCGTCTTCATTGGGCGGTGGACTGTCACATTGCAAATCTTTTTCGGCGAGAGCGCCTCCTAATAGACCAGGACCATGCGGCTCTTCGATGGTTGAACGAGCCATTTGATCACTACTACGATAACGGAGAATCGTAATAGTGGGAGGTGAGTCTCGGTAACCTGAGCTTTCATGTTCTGCCGAGGCAGCAGGACCGAAAGCGCCTTCAACTGGAACAGAGGATTCAGCACTGTCAAATGGTAGATCTTCTCGGTAGTTGGCGTGGTGTCTATTTTCAAAAAGCCGAGAGATTAAATCGCGGTGATTCCGAAGACGTCGCGCAACAAGCGAAATTTGTTCCAAGACTAAATTGGGCCTTAGCTTTTTATACAACGTCAGACGAATTTTTCAGGCACTCACCTTCGCCTATCGTTTTCCGAGCATCAATAAGCTCCTGCAATACCGTGTCGTTTGATTGAAGCTCCTTCTTGCAATCATCTTTATCTGGCCAAGGGAAGAGAAATCGCCAAGGCCTACCAGACCGTAGGAGTTTGAGATCAATTTCTGACAGCTCGACGCTAGAACTTCCGATCCCAAACTGCGCTGGACCCTCGAACTGGGGACCTGCAAACAGAACAAGCCTCGTCCAGGTCAACGGTGGTCCTTCCCTCACGGGCGGTGTAGTAATCGAGAAAAGGCTCTGTAGGCTCTTGCTCAGGCTCTTGCTAGTCAAATCCTCTCCACGGCCAAAGGCAATACTACCACCTTCGTTTAGTATTGACAAATGATTTGACAATTCGGTCGAAAATTCAGAAATGGAGATATTGGCAAGCCTGAGAGGTCTTAGACTTTTATCATGATGTTCAGAAATAAAGTTGTTTACTATGTTGTCAATAGTTTGGTATCTTCCATCGCCAGACTCTTTGTTGAAAGGCGTGGTCATCATTTCAGGACCACGGGCTTAAGCATACCTTGAATCCAACGAGAAAGGATAGGAGAATATGCAATGGCGTACGTCGCTCGCAGAAGCGGGTTAAAATTTCTCCGTATTACTAATTTGTTGACCGCCCAAGGGGTCTACGTTCGCATATCCAGTGTCTTCTTGGTGACAGTTTCTGCCCAGCAAAAATTGGAGCGGTGGTATGGGAAATCACGGACGGTTTCGGGTAGTCAAGTAGAGCTACCGACCAAGACTCGACGATAGTCAGCCAAAAGGTCATGTCTACACCTTATCCCGCTACAATCAACGACCTACCTGCGTGCGACCGGTTGAAAAATTTCCATTGTGCCCCTGTGTTCCTCCCTCACTAGCGAAGGCGAAGAGCAAGACTTGGCTTCCGGCTTCAATCAACATTATCATCCGATGACTGCCACAAGTCCGCTCGTTGGAGGGCTAGACCGCCGGCGGGCCTTTGGTCCTTTGTTTTCACTAGGCATGCCCTGACGAACAATTGGTACGGTAGACATGAATTAAAGTCTGTGTGGAATAATCGATCTTGTGTGAACTGGTCTTTTACTTTGTTATGGGGAGCGAAGTGGAAATATCTAGTGAGAGAAAAGATATCTAACACTATAACAACCATTTGAAAGCCGCCTACATATTGCATGGGCCCGGCAGGTAGTTAGTGTAATTTGTTGAGAATTGTCCTTCTTGGGAATTCAATTCCCGAAGTGCATCGCAAAACTCCATAATTCTGACCTGGTTGTTGTCCCACGTGGATAAGCCTCACATGGTCAAGTGATAGTCTGACACATTGATAAGAAATATTGTTAAAGCCCGACATAAGTTTCCATGCCAAGTTTTGAACCACGCCGTGAGAGAATATATACACACAGATAGACCTCTGCATAGCCCACAAAGCCCATAGCCCACCCAACCCAAACCAACCCACCCCACCAAAAATGGGCTGGGTTTTGGGCTCATTCTTCGGGCCCATTGGTGGGCCATGGGCCCCCATTATGCACCAAACATACAAACATGCCGGTTTATCGCAGCTGCACAATTATCCTACAATCCCACAGTTTCTTCTAAGGCCTCCAAGTGTAAATCGCTTGGCATTGGAAACCTGAATGTAAATCACTTGGCATTGGAAGCCTGAAAGTAAGTCGCTTGGCATTGGAGGCCCTACATATCTGTCGAAATAAGTTACTTAGAATGCTCCTCCATGTTTGCATTGTTTATGTTTCGTCCTTAGTCAGCTGTAAACCCCATAGTTACAAATTGCCAGAAACTAGGGGTAATAAAAATAGACTTGTCATATATTCCTATTGGCTGGTAGAACCACAATTCGATAATATCAAAGAATTTCAATCAAGTCTGATCAAGCAAGGTGCCATCAAATAGCACTTTAGCTATAGTAAAGATATCCAGAGCTTGACGACCTGTGGCAGGTGAAGAGATGTTGTGCAGAACGCGGTCGCATAACTCGAGGCTCTGGTGGTGGATACAGGGGAACATAAGCGGCACCATCCCCGTCCAGCCTTTTCATCCATGGATGGCCTTCCTCCTTATATGGACATGACCAGTAGCCTCGTCCAAAAGGAGATCATCATGGTGGGGCCAATCACGTACCTGATGTCCATGATCCTTGGCCCCTACAATGCCGCCTAAGTAGGCACAGCATCACTAGAGACCAACTCATAAACCGTTGTAATATTCATTTTCAGCCCCAAATCTTCTATACAAAGCTTGATCTGCGCATTATTTGCCCCGTTTTGAGTGCCTACACGCGGCTGTGCCGTGCGACTGAGTGGATCTTCATTTCAATTTTCCGAACAAGAAGATACTTGTAAGTTTTCTCAGATAAAGGGAAAGCCAATAATACGGTTGACCTGAACTTCAACTGATGCCTCCATTGCCTCTAATTATGTTTTGACGTAATGCTTAGTCAGCTATTTACACAAACCCCCCGCCCCTAGGAGTGGGGTGATTACTCCTTGCCAGGCACTATATATAGAATCTGATCACAGCCTAATATGGATCTTGCGAAGTTGGTCAGTAGTAACAGCATAGCCTTCATATCGTAATAGTTTACTAGTTTTAGTGGTCACGTCACTAATTCTTGAACTCTTTGTACCAAGGCATATAGTTGATTAGGGCTCCGAAAGGAATAAGATTATTCATGAATATTCATGAATAATTGCGAATATGAATTATATGAATTGCATAATATGAATATGAATAAGAGACTTATTCATATTCGCAAAATTCATGAATATATGAATAATTCATATATATTCATATACCGAAAGAGCATACATTACCGTTCATGCTGGTACATCGCAATA